TTTTTGTTTTGGGTTGTGTGTAAGTAATCTTTTTATTTACTTGTTTTTTGTAAAATTTTTAAGTTTTACAGGATGTGGACTTCTTGCTTGTTTTTGGTAGCTAAATACAAGATCAAATTTTGTAAATGTACAGATGTACCAAGAGATGTGTGTATTCTATTCTAGGGACATATAAATAGCTTTTCAATTGTATCATCCATTTCTTTTATGTTTTTGGTTTTCTCCTCACTTGAGAAATGTACTTTTTATTTTTTTCATGATCTTTTTTCATTTTAGTAATTTTTTCTTTTATTATTTAGCTGTTTCTTTTTTCCTGGATTTCTATGTTTTAAAAAGTACTTTCATACTGTTTTTTTCTTGGTCATAGTAAGTGGTATTCTGTTTTGTTATGTTAAACTTTTGTTTTATGTTTAATGTATTCAGTGTTTACTCCCTGGCTTGCGTAGTTTCTAATGAGAGGTCTGTTGACTTTTCTATTTTTGTTCCTAAGTATGTATTGTGTCTATTTTTCTCGTGCCTTGAAGACTAACTCTTATTACTGGTTTTTAGTAATTTGATTTTAATGTACTTTTACATGGTTTTATTTAGAGATGCTGTCTTCAGGGATTATTGAGATTCTTATATCTTTGGGTTACAGTTTTTTCTAAAGTTGGAAAAACTTGCCCGTTAGTTCTTAAAGTATTTTTCTGATTATTTTTGTTTCTTCTTCTGGGCATGCATTAGACCACTTGATTTAATTGTCCTACAGGTAGTGAGCCTCTTTTTTTTTTTTTTCTTGAGTCAGAGTCTTCACTCTGTCACACAGTCTGGAGTGCAGTGGCATGCTCAAGGCCACTGCAGCCTTGACCTGCTGGGTTCAGGCTATCCTTCCACCTCAGCCTTCAAAGTAGCTAGAAGTACAAGTGTGTACTCCCAAGCCTGGCTAATTTTTTTGATTTATTGTAGAGACGAGGTCTCACCAAGTTGCCCAGGTCAGTCTTGAACCCCTGAACTCTTGCCTCGGCCTCCCAAAGTCCTGAGATTACAGGCTTGAGCCACTGCACCCAGCCTTGTTTTGTTTTTTTAAGGAAGGCCATATTTTGTTCATCTTTGTGTTTCATTTTGTTGGTCTGTGCCTCCCTTCAGTTTAGCCAGATTTTTCCTCTTGTATTTTGAAGCTGTCTTGTTAGATACACAAATGGTTATAATTCTGTCTTTCAGAGAGTTAATGTTTCTGTCATCATAAAAAAGTGCATTTTTGTCTCTAATAATTAGTTTCATGTAAAGGTCTGTTTTTATCTGATATTAGTATAGCCCCCTCATCTCTGTCTGTTTCTATGACTTGACTTTTTAATTTTTTTTTTGTTCATCCCATGTGTGTCTTTGATTTAAAGTGCATCTCTATTTTTTTTTTTTTTTTTTTGAGTTGGAATCTCACTCTGTCGCCCAGACTGGAGTGTAGTGGCCGCTCCCGGCCACCGCAGCCTCGACCTGCTGGGCTCCAGCGATCCTTCTGCCTCAGCCTTCCGAGTAGCCGAAGTTACAGGCGCGCACTACCACGCCCGGCTGATTTTTTGATTTATTGTAGAGATGAGGTCTCACCGCCCGGGTGGGTCTCGAACCCGCGGGCTTAGGCAATCCACTCACCTCAGCCTCCCAAAGGCGCGGGATTACGGGCTGAGCCACCGAGCCAGCTAAAGTGCATCTCTTTAAATCGGTGTATAGTTCATGTTATCTGGTCTGACCATCTTTTTCTCTCTTTTTATTTACAAAGATACTTTTCCAGTTCATTTTTATTTACTTATCTTAGAGGCAGGATTTAGTTCTGTCACAAGCCTGAGTGCAGTGGTATGATCAAACTTCACTGCAGCTTTGAATTCCTGGGCTCTAGTAATCTTCCTGCTTCAGCCTCTCAGGTAACTGGGACTACAGCTGTGAACCACCACACCAGGCCAATTAAAAAAAATTTTGTTTTTTGTGGAGACATGGTCTTGCTCCATTGCTTAGGCCTATCTCGAGCTCCTGAGCTCAAGTGATTCTCCTACCTTGGCCTCCCCAAGTGCTGGGATTACAGGTGTGAGCCGCTGTGCCTGACTTGTCTTTATTTTTCACTTGATCTTAGCCAAAAGACTGAGAAGGGATCGTCTTTGACTTTCAGTGACTTAGCCGTAATTGTGTGTATCTTTAAAAGATAAATTAGTGCTTATGAATGTTATTTTTATATATATTTAATTTTGAGCAGAGTTTCACTGTTGCCTAGGCTGGAGTGCTTTGGCATGAACATGGCTCACCACAGCCTTGAACTCCTGGGCTCAAGTGATCCTCCTGCTTCAGCTTCCTGAGTTGCTGGGACTATAGGCACACACAGCACCATGCCTGGCTACTTTTTTTTTAATTTAAGAAGGGTAGATTTATTAAAGGAAAGATACGTTGTGCAGAACAACAGTGAGGGTGTCTGCTGCCTTGCCTGGCTAATTGTTCTATTTTTTGTTTCCCATGCTGGTCTTCAACTCCCAGGCTGAAGCAGTTCTCCCAACTATATCTCCCAAAGCACTGGGAGTACAGGTGTTAGCCATTGTGCCTGGCCTGAATCTTTATCGTAAGAGCTATAAAGCTCAACTATTTTTCTCCTTATTTTGTTTTCAAGTAGTTTGTTATAAAATATGTTATGTTGTAAAGTAGTTTCTGTTTTGGTAACTCTTAAAATTTCCATTTACAAATTTCCTGCTTTGACCACAATATTGCTCTTTAATTAGCAATGATTTTACTTTGGGGGAGGGGATAGGTCATCTTTTTATTTTATTCTTCTTTTTTTTTTTTGAGTCAGAGTCTCACTATGTCGCCCAGGCTGGAGTACAGTGGCACTCTCACGGCCATCGCAATCTTGACCTGCTAGGCTCAGGTGATCCTTCCATCTCAGCCTTCCAGGTAGCTGGAACCACAGGTGTGCACCACCACAGTTGGCTAATTTTTTGATTTATTGTAGATATGATGTCTCACCAAGTTGCCCAGGCTGGTCTGGAATCCCTGGTCTCAGGCAGCCCTCTTACCTCCATCTCCCAAAGTGTGGGAATTATAGGCGTGAGCCACTGCACTCAGCTCAATTTATTATTTTAGGTTATTAAATTATGCCCATGTATGTAGTCAGTAACATTTCATAGATTCAGTGTTTGGGATGCATGAATGTTTACATTTTAGACAGGCAAGCTAGTAGTTACATTTCTGTTTTGTTTTTTTTTTTTGAGTTGGAGTTTCACTCTGTCGCCAAGACTGGAGTGCAGTGGCCGCTCCCGGCCACCGCAGCCTCGACCTGCTGGGCTCCGGCGATCCTTCCGCCTCAGCCTTCTGAGTAGCCGGAATTACAGGCATGCGCTACCACGCCCGGCTGATTTTTTGATTTATTGTAGAGATGAGGTCTCGCTGCTCAGGCAGTCCACTCACCTCAGCCTCCCAAAGGCGCCAGATTACAGGCTGAGCCACCGAGCCCGGCTAGTAGTTACATTTCTAACATGATCTGTGGTAGTACCCTATAATCAAATGCCTTAATATTTTTGCAGTAGTTTTACACTAAGAAGGGTAACTAAAGATATAAATAGCTTTATGCCAATCCAGGTCAGGTTGTTTTTTTTTTTTAACTAAATTAGTTTCATAGCCAAATATATTTATGTATTTCAGACTTTGGATACGGAAATGTGATCTTGACAACCACTGTTTTTTGTTTTAATATTGTGTCTATGCATTTTTCATTTGTTTTTTATTGTGGTGCTGTCCTTTTTGTTGCATAAGATCTTGACAATGTGTGTGTTGTATCCTTCATTATTGCATAATATTCCTGTTGGTCCTCTTTAATGCTTTTTGACTTGAACGTATAAATACAGGTGAAGCTTTGCTTGCCGCCTGCTTCTCACCTCCTGCTGTGTGGCTCAGTTCCTAACAGGCCACAGATTGGTGCTGTGGCCTAGGGGTTGGGGAGACTGTTTCACACTTCTATTTTGCTTCTTAGGAGCTGCCATTCTTTTTATCAGGTCTTCTAATTTTTAAAATGTGGAGATTGTGTTTACTTAATTCTAGTAGGGCTCTTTCCTTATATATGTAGTGTTTGTTCTAATTGCATTTCTCTGAGAATTCTCACCCTGGTTTATTTGGGTTTTTTTACTTCAAAGTTCTCTTGTTTATTCCATTGAGTTCTGCCTCAGTAGGGGCCACCTGGCCTGATCTGGTTTTTCACCTTGCTTACCTTCCAAGTTACTGGGCCTCCTCAAATGGGATATACTTGTTCTTTGACTGTTCATAAGTATGGCTTCCTTTACAGGGTCAAGTTTGGACAGATTGGTGTGGTGAACCAGCAAACCATGGAACACGTGATGTACTTTGTTTCAGCTGCCCTCTACTGGATGCGTTAGCAGATTAAATGCTTTATCTCAAGAGCAGCAGAGCCTCACTGTTCCCCTGCTTACCTAACATAGCTGGGGCTGGAAAAGCAGGCCTCTCATGATCCTTTCATGAGTGACCAAGTCTATCAGCGCCAAATTTTGAAATGACCTGAAGGAAGCAGAGAGTTAAGCAGATGCATACTGGACCTAGGCAGCCACAAAATCCTGGGTCTTTATGGTTATGGCTCCAGGCTCTACTGGGGTTTACCTTTTGCTTCCATGAGAAAAGAGAGAAAAAATCTAGTTGCATGCAAGTTTATTTACACAGCTACAGGTGTGTGTACCTGTAGTCTGAAGCTTTCACTAAGAAGACTCAGAGTTCAGAATTCCTATGGTTTAGACTTAGGTACTTGAATTCAAGAACTGCCTTGAAATTTCTGGCTCTGTGGCAATTGTTTCTATCTGACTTAGTGACCAGTCATTCATTTGTACTAGATATTTAGCAAATTTTCTGTACAAGACAAGATGGTAAATATTTTAGGCTTTGTGGACCATATACAATGTATAGCTTTTTCCTTTTTCTTCACCTTAAAAATATAAAAGTCATTCATAATAAATTGTTGGTCGAGCTGTTTTATTTTTGTTCTTTCACTGAAAATGTTTTATTGGCCTTTTGGACAGAGACGGCATTTGTTTGCTGGGAAGGGTGATCCCATCATACATGTGCTGAAAGCAGCGCATGGCTGCCTCTTTGCTGGTTCTGCGTTTGGCCCCGGTGCAGCCTGCTCTGTGCTTCTTGGTGGCACTGCTGACACCTGGCCTGCCCAGCACCACATAGAAATCTAGGCCGGAGATGCCCATGCTTGGGTCATATTTGATACCCAGAATGATGTATTCCTGGATCCCCAAACCAAAGTTTCCAGTATCTGAGAACCTATTTTTTCTTAGTTCAGACTTCTGCACCATCAGCCCTTTCTTCGGGATTTCTTCTGCCTTGGCCCCTCGAGCTGTGCGGTGGTTGGCAATCTTTTCATTTCTCCTGATGTCAAAGGATCTGACAGTGTATCTAGCTTTGGAAAACGCAGGAGTCTGGCCTGTGAGCTGCTCCGAAACCTTGGCTGCCCGGGTCAGTCTGTCTCCACTCTCCCCCACACAGATGTTGAGGCAGAGTTTGCGAACGCGAAGTTCCTGCATGGGGTTCTCCTTTTCACCTCGAACCTGTGCCGTGATGGAGAACAGCAAGAGAACGCTGGTCGAGCTGGTTTAACGTTCAAAACTGCATTTTTTTAACAGCAGGCTCTAACTTACCCATAATTTGTATTTTATATTTCTATGGTATATAAATGTAGAATATGTATTTTATATTTATATATTATATTTCATAATGTATATTCATATGAAAGATTCTGTTAATAATAAAAAACTTGGGTACGTTCTTTTAGATGGTATTGGAAACATATTGCTGTATTTGGTAATGAATTTATAATTTTCTGATTATGCAAGCTTTTTGAGCTTTTTTTTGGGGGGGTGGGGGAAGTCAAAAAGTCTCACTCTGTCACCCAGGCTATAGTGCAGTGGCATGCTCACAGCCACTGCAGCCTCGACCTGCTGGGCTCAGGCAGTCCTTC